TGATGAGTCTGGCTAAAGGTTCATCAATCTTGTTTATCTTTTCAAAGAACAAGCTCTTGGATTCATTGACCTTTTGTATTGTTTTTTTAGTCTCTATGTCATTTTTTTCCACTCTCACCTTTATTATTTCTTTCCTTCTACTTACGCTGGGCTTTTCTTGTTGTTCTCTTTCTAATTCTTTTAGTTGTTGTGTTAGATGGTTTATTAGAGCTTTTTCTTGTTTCCTGAGGTTGGCCTGTAATGTCATGAACTTCCTTCTTGAGACTGCTTTTGCAGTGTGCTATAGATTTTGGGTTGTTGTTATGTTCATTTTCGTTCGTTTCCAGAAATTTTTTTATTTCTTCCTTGATCTCCTTGGTAACACATTCATTGTTTAATAACATGCTATTTAGCCTCCATGTTTGAATGTTTTTGAGTGTTTTTATTATAGTTGATTTCTAGTTTCATGCCACTGTGATCTGAGAAGATGCTTGATATGATTTCAGTCCTCTTGAACTTGTAGAGATTTATTTTGTGACCTATCTTTCAGAATGTCCCAAGTGCACTTGAGAAAAATGTATATACTGCAGCTTTGGGATGAAATGTTCTGTAAATGTCAATTAAATCCATCTGATCTAATGTGTTAAGATCTCTGTTTCCTTGTTGATTTTTTGTCTGGAAGATCTATCCAGTGATGTTAGTGGGGTGTTAAATTCCCCTACTATGATTGTATTGCTGCCGATCTCTCCCTTAAAGTCCCGCAAGAGCTTTTTTATATATTGAGGTGATCCTATATTGGGTGCATATATGTTTACCAGGGTTATATCCTCTTGTTAGATCGATCCCTTTAGTATTATATAGTCGCCCTCTTTGTCTCTTTTTATGGCCTTTGCTTTGAAGTCCATTTTGTCAGACATAAGTATTGCTACCATTGCTTTTTTTCCATTTCCATTTTCATAGCAAAAAATTTTTTCCATCCCTTCACTTTCAGTCTATGTGAATCTTTTGTTCTGAGGTGGGTCTCTTGTAGACAACATAGATATGGGTCATGTTTTCTTAACCATTCAGCTACCCTATGTCTTTTGATTGACAAATTTAAGCCATTTACATTTAAGGTTATTATTGATAGTTACTTGTTGCCATTTTTATTCTTTATGCCTGTGTTCCTCTCTCACTCTCCATTTCTTCTTCTTACAACAGTCCCTTTAGCATTTTTTGCAGTGCTGGTTGGTGGTAATAAACTTTTACCCTTTTTTTTTTCTTTTGTCTGGGAAGGTCTTTGTTTCTCTTTTAATTTTAAATGATAGCCTTGCTGGATAGAGTAGTCTTGGATTCAGTCCCATTACTATTTTACATTGATGCATCCACTAACTCATTTCAAATCTGTGATTCCTATTTTCTTACCTAATACCCAGGAGAAACTTCTCTACTGTTTTTTAGTGACATAAAAGGAATTCTCCATTATTGAACTTTTTAAACAACTTCATCAAATACTTATACCTAGTGACCAATTTGTTCTAGGAAAAAATTATGATATTAAAAGTTTTGGAGTAATTCAGCAAAGAATAATCAGTCATTACTTTTATGTGGAGTAATTAATTATCAAGCATTTATTTTGAATCAAATGTGCTAGAACTGTGGAAATGAAAACAAATATCACTAAGTGGGCCCATAATTACCTCCAATAAAGAACATCCATCATAAAGAGAAAAATACCTAAGAAGACCTTACAATTCCAAGTCAGAGTTTCAATTTGGCCGTTAGCATTTAATTGCACTAAATAACACATATTTTTGTTAATTGGAAACTTCCCAGGTAGTTTTTAATAAAATTTAAAAAGTAGATGGCAAAAAAGGAAACACTATTTTTCAAAAGTCCATATGATACTGTAAACTTCTTCCTCTTTAAGACCTTGACAATTTTTTTATTTCACATGTCTAATGGAAATAGTTTAGTCTAATCATTTTAGAACATGTTTCAACAAATTCAAATTTTTTGTCCCACATATTCTAGAATCAATTTTATATTAAAACAGAACATGCACATTCTCTGAAAGGTAAAAAAATATATATAGCATTTATTTGGAACCTTTATTTCAGAGCCCATGTATACATACCCTTTCTATCACTAAATTCTATCACTGTCCCACTATTTGATATGGAAAGAATCTACTGTCACTCAGCTATTATTAACAAAGTCCCTAATGGAGCAGAATATGATTTTTACCATGTACAATACAGGGGAAAACTGAGACACAGAAATTACTAAATTATTTGCCAAAAGAAGACTGAGAAAAACTTAAGAGGCAAAAGAGAAAATAGTGGAACCTACTATTACAATTAACTGGTAAATTGAATGCAATTTCCCAGTGAGAGCAAAAAATTATGCATGTAAATTTACATATGAATATATACAAAGAACTGAAAAATCAAGGGAAATAATTAAGAAGGAATTTTTTACATAGCCTTAATTACATAGAGAAGTGTGGTTTCAAAATCAAAGTTGCTAAACAGCAGGTTCTAGTGAGCCATGTCCGTTTGTTGAAAAAACTTGGGAAATAAATATGGTTTATTCAATAAGAGATTATAAATTAAATTATGGCCCAAGAAGTTTAATTTTATAAGAGAATCTAATAGACATATATAATAGGTATAATATCATCTGACCAAGCACTGAAATATATCTTTAGAGAAAATAAAGTCTAATTTAAAATGTCTTAAAATTAAAGTTACAAAATAAAATTTCATGTGTAAATAATATTTAAGATGAAACTTAATCATAAAAGTGTGGACTTTTAAGAAAATTTGCAAACAATGTTAGTGGCAATTACAAAATGAAAGAGATGTTAAGGGAAATAGCAGATATTAGCTTATAAAATTACCTTTTTAAACATATTAAATGCTATGAATTGAAATGCTTTTTTAACTCAAGAGCAATAGTGCTTAAACTGAATGTGTATTATTTTCTTTTACGGAACAACTACATTATACCCATAAAACATTTTATGGCACTGCTTTATATCCAGCTTATTTCATCCTCAAAAACATTAATATGTAATATTTATAAAACTTTTTAAGTCCCTCTTCATAACCTCTTTAAATCCTTTGCAGAAAATCTGTGATGTTATCTTCTAAACAAAGTAAAACCAAGGCAGAAGGCTTTTATTCCATCATTTCTATAGTAACAAAAATACCTTTACCTTCCAGAAGACTTTCACAGAATCCCAAACACTAGCATGTTATAATCAATTAGGAATGAAACTAATTCAATAAATGAGAAGACTAATATTACTCAAAAGTATTATCAAGAATCAAAGAAAGATAGTACTTATTTTTTTAATACAGCTAAAATATGTGTCGAAGATGCTATTATAAAGTGGTTTTTAAAATAAAAATTATGTTTATTTCCTGGATTATTTCTTTCAAATGCAGGACCAAATAAATAAATAAAAACCTGGTAAAAAGTATAGGTCTTATAGTAAAAAGGCCTGAGTCAACCTACTATTTAAAAATAAATGAGAGTACATATTTCCAAAAGTTCAATTAATTAAAAAGAAGATAACCTGCTCTCTAAGTTCTTAACTGTTGTTTCAAACTGATCATGTCTGACAATGTCACCTTCAACCTCAAGGAAATTTCCTATAGAGTGAATTTTTGTCCACTATGTAAGATTGTTTTATAATTTTCCCCTTTTGTTTATTAATTTGTGTTTATTGTTTCATGCACTCTGTATGTTATGCTTATGCTAGGAATTTTTTTCTTTACATAAATCAGAAAATTATATTGTTTTCAGAATTATTCATGGGTATCGTCTATTATTAGAACTACTTCACCCTAAATTTAAACGAGTTTAACCTCTAGGAGAGTTCTCACAACATTCAAAAAACACTGGCCAAATGTTACACTTCCTTGACTTTGTTGAAGCACTTCGTATTTCATCACTGTAATTTTAATTTCCTCCTATCATCTTCAATGACAGTATAAAAAACTCAAATTCAAAAACTCTTGCCTTTGAGGAATTAAAACAAATAGAAGTTCTATTTTTAATAACAAATAAATGACATCATTTTGGAAGCAAATATTTATAATCATATACTAGTACTAATATATGTTTTATCAATTTACTGTTTTTGAAACATTTAATTCCTGTGCCCTCAGGTAATTTAATAGGGGTTTATAAAACGACAATTTTTTAAGAAATCAGAAAGAGTTCCCTTAACATACTAAAAGATTATTTATATCACCGTCCTTTGAAAGAATGATGACTCTTTAAAATGAAGTCTCCTTAGTTCACCCACCCACTCCTCCATCTCAGCCAGGGCTTTGACCAAGCTCTTCGCCTCAGCAAAAGAGGCAAATGGCTAAAATGATCAGTGTCTGGGCCATCAGGAACAGCCAATATGCAACATCAGCTGAGATTCCTGATTAGCGCGATGTCTTCTAAAGAAAAAAAAAGGTACCAAAACAAAACAAACAACAAAACAAAACAAAAAACGAAGTAACTCTATCTAGGCCATCTTTTCACCTTTCTTTATCACCAGAGAGAAGCATTTAACACATTGGTTTTGATAAACAGTAAAGAACTACTGATGAAGCTCTGATCCATAAAAAGCATATCTTATCATTTTTGCTAATAAACTTCCAGTTTTATAACATGCTAAGAGAACTTAGTAATTTTATTGTTTAATGAGATAAAACATAATAATCTTAGTACAAAGTGTTTGGATTAAATTGTTTGTGGCCTCTTTATGCAGAGTATTGTCAACATCTCTTGTCAAGAGAAAATTAATTCTCTTGTGTTCAAAATTCAGATTATCATTCCTCATTACATCTAATTCCAGAGAATAACCAAGTATGCCATGTCAGTAAGTGGACGAAATCTGCTTCTGAAATACTGTTTCCACTAAATAAGGTTTTAGAAAAGGTCCTGTACTGTGATTTCCCCTCATTATATCTGTGATGAGAAAATGATGAAAATGCCACCTTAATCCCCTAAAGACAAGGTCTCAGCATCCACCTTACCTGACAAGATTTTCATTGTCTCCAGTTCCCTTGCAAGTTGCACATTCAGTTCGTAAATCTTCAGCCTTGGGTTTCTTTTGTAACACAGACTGCCTCTGTCTCCTCTCTCTAGGAACTCTTTCCTGCCATCCCAGGGGCAACAAAACAAAATCAGGATATCAGGAACAGAAATAATTCTGAGCAAAAAAGTTTTCCAAAGTTTAGACTGTGTAAAAAGTGCTTAACTTATTCCAACCTCATGTTTTTCTTCATCAGGAATGAAACTTCGTTTTCGTCCTCTGGTTCTCTAAAAAAAGATCCACAAAAATATCTGATGTTTAATTAGTAAGAAAAATATTTGTCCTCTGTTAAATGTTACTGCTTAGGTTAAGCACTTGGAAAATAGTATTTCTGATTAATGCTGTATTTCTCTATTGCACTGTTATAATTTATGTCACAGGAAATTGAAACATGACAAATTAAACACAGTTTATAGTGCTGTACTTTAAATAACACAAGAATCTGATAGGAAAAAAATGTTATCCAAAATTAGTTTGAAGAATTTTTTCAATACTTCATATATGTCACACAATTATGACTTAGGCAGAGAATTTAAGTTTTCGTAACTTATATGATTTCTGAAATGCTAAACCTAGACTCATACTACATCTACTGTATGCCTGGGTATGTGTGTGTTTGCATGCATGTTTGTGTAACAATCAGTTTTTTACAGCCATAAAAAAGTGGGTGGAAAAGATCTCAGATGTTGCCAAATCCTAGTTAAAATAAAATGAACCAAAACATGATATAAATGACTTTTTTCTTTTTTAATCCTCACCAGAGGATACTTTTTCTATTGCTTTTCAGAGAGAGTGGAAGAGACAGAGAAATACATCGATTGGATGCCACCTGCACAAGCCCCAAGCAGGGCTGGGATCGAGCCTGCACTGGGGTACATGCCCTTGGTGGCCATCAAACTGGGACCCTTCAGTCTGCAGTCCGACGCTCTCACCACTGAGCAAAACCAGCTAGGGCGTAAACGACTTACTTTAAACTTAATTAATTAAAATTTACATCCCATATTTCAAAACACATTTACCACTTGAAAGACAACATCCAAACGTTTAAGAGTAATTAAGTATGAAATGCAAAAGTATTTAACAACTGAAATGTTAAAAATCTCCACTCACATAGCACAGCCTCTGTAGACCTACAATTCCATGTGCAGACCACTGCTCTACAAAGAATGGAAGAGAAAGGAGGCACCACTCCCACAAATTACTATGTTGAGATCAGGGAGCATTCCCAGGTTAGAATAGTTACCAAATACTCTAAACAGAATTGCTATCTGACATAAATACATAGATGCTTTCCTAAAGTACTGTCATTTCAAGTCTTAATATCGAGTACCTTGTTATTTTAATACCATGGCTCAATGCATACTATTTAATCTGCCTCTAGATAACCAAGACTTGACTGAATTAGTCATTCAAAAGAAGTAAATTTATAAACTATGTATTCGTTTACATTAGTACTGCCAATTAGTACGTTTTAATCATATTATGTAAAGAACTGGGGAGAAAAAGTAAGGCCGTATCAGGAAAAGTCTTTAAGTGCAGACCCTACTTCTATTCTATCTGTTATTAATCCCAAAGACAGTGCTGAGCCTTGCTCCTCAAAATACCAATCATGCCTCATAGGCACTGGCCTTCCCTAGTAGCTTGTCAGAAATGCAGAATCTTAATTCTTACTACGTACTGAATTGGAATCTGCCTTTTAATAAGATCCCCACGTAAGCCACATACACATCAAAGTCTGAGCACATCAGTGCAGAAGAGTCCTTAATATTAACAACACTTATCTGAGTTCTAACTAAAACTTTATGTCTAGCTCTTTACATATCCATCTCTCCATTCTGTGACAAGCCGTTCCTTCATGCTTCAATTTCTGTTCCCCAACACAGTTCATTCCCAGACTGTTAAGGATGATATCATACTCATCTTTCTAAACCCAATTAAACTTAATACAATACGTATTACGTAAAGGCTGAATAAATTGGTTGTAAAAAAAATAAATAATAAGTGGTTAGATGAAACTCATAAATGATTATGCTAGATAATACAAATGATAAAATAATTAGCAAAAAGGGTAAATTATTGTTTCCTTCTCTAATAAGCGATTTTTCAATTTGCATAACTTTTGCATATAGGACATTTCAATGAGGTAACCAAAATAACCAACATCAAAGGGAAGATATTCAAATTACTCATTTTTGTTTATAAACATCTGAGAATGCTCCACACAGTCCCATGTTTCTCTTCATTCACCCATCTTTTAGGTAATGAAATAGCAAGTGAATCATTTAGTTTTTGAATCATCTAGTCAGTGAATTTATTTTTGAAGTACATATGTGAAAGCCTCCAAGTTCACATTTTCAATTCTTTTGAAGATATACAATTATTTACGATGTCTAATTAATACTTTAAATCTTCAAGTATCTGAAATGACTCCATCAACTGGAAGTTTTTCATACTCATGAAATTAGTATCATAAGGCACGATGCCAATACATCATCCTAACGCACAATGGCATAGTTACATTTCTCTCTATATATAATTTCCTTCTTATATAAATACACATATATTTAATTAAAGTGCTATTTTAAAAATGAATAAATGCATTTATAATTATCTAAAACAGTCATTTAAAATTAAGTGCATTTATTACCAAATAGTAATCATTGATGTATTCCTGTAGTAATTTTAAATAACTAGCCATAAGAAACATAAACAATTTCCAGCCAGAAAAACATTGTTATAAGCAATATGAAATGACAGTGTCTTAGAGCTTTGAAAAAGCAGTCCAGGGGAGTAACCTGATGATCACACAGCTGATAAATGACAGAGGTAAACTTCAAACCCAGGTATCTCAACTCCCAATTCAGTGATTTTTCTTGCATGCCAAATCCAAGATTAATAAATTTAATCCCAAATAGAGATGAGCAAAATTATCATGAGAAAACAAATATCTAACTCTCACTTGAATACTTAGACTGTAACATCGTAATGCCTAAATGAAGCATTCTTACATTTCGAAACAAGTTAGTTAAAAAAATTGTACCCAATGAAGAGGTAACCTCAATACCTCAATTAACACTACATTCTACCCAATTCCCTACCCTACACAGTATAATGACTACCATGATCCATTACCAAAGTAAATTATAACAAGCTTCTTTAGCTTTTATCACATCACTAATATTTACAAGGAGAGAAAAAATAAGGTGGCTGAATCCAAACACAACTCTTTACAATACCAAGTTCTCCAAGAAAATGCCAACAGCTGTTGGTCTCTTTCTAGTTGTAATGAAGTAGCAATAACAACTCACAACTGCCTATGAGCACAACAGAACATATCTTAAACATGGTGCCCCTAAATGAATCAGAAAATGTAAGGAGAGTGAAAAAGTGGGAGAAATGATGCAAAAAGGCAAAAAGAAAGAAAAACAAAAACAATTTGTTGGCTCATTCAACAAATTTCAATGATCAAAGAGCTTGCCCCATCTTAACTGTATGGTAGTATTCATAACCAAGTGGTTATTTCATGGTATACATGGAGGCTGACACTATTTTAGAAACAAAATAAAGCAGGGCGTGTAAATAACATGTGGAAAGAAGAGTTTTATTTAACAATTATGTGCTTTGGAACCTAACACAGATACATTGTCTAGAAATTCCAAATGATCAACTGAGGGTTCATTCCAAATTGTGGTTCCTTTTGCAATTATTAAGCTATTAAAAGCAAATGGAAAGTTCGAAACTAGCTCCAAATCTTGGCATAGTCCTTTTTTTTTTGTTTTATTTTAAGAACTTTTTGCCTAGGGAACAATTCAATCTGAGCTGCTTAGATCACCTGGCTCTTTGTCTGTCTATGGTACATTTACTTGAAAACAGGAGGTGATAAAAACATCCACAAAGAGAATGAAATGGTATCGGGAAAGAATAAAATATTTAGTCATCTGATATCATTTTAATAGCTACTTCATCTGAAACAAATAATTAGATGTTTCAATAACTTCATTTGGACTAGAAAACATGTAACAAATTTAAATTAATTCTTTAGAGCTGGGGTTAAATTTACAATTAAGTTTGATGCATGATTTTCCCAAGGTTAGAACAATTCATTTGACAAATGAACTAAATTTAAAACTAAAAGACAGCCCTGGCAAATTTGGCTCAGTGGTTAGAGCATCAACCTGCAGACTAAAGGGTCTTGGGTTCAATCCTGGTCAACGCACATGCCTGGCTTGCAGGCTCGATCCCCCATCCTGGTCAGGGAGCATGCAGGAGGCAACCAATCGATGTGTCTTTCTCACATCAGTGTTTCTCTCTTTCTTTCTCTCTCTCCCTTCCACTCTCTCTGAAAAGCAATGGAATAAATATCCTCAGGTGAGGATTAAAAAATAATAAAACTAAAGACAGTTCCTCCACATCTTTAATATCATAAGATGGGTTTCACACATTCATATGTGCAGTTTTCTCTAAATTTAACAATTTACCTATTTTATGACAAATCAACATTTATACAAAGGACAATAAACAAGCTGTTATGTAGCCAGATAAAACATAAGGAATGCCTCCCTATGTAATTATATATAAAAAGAAATGCTTATTCTTGAGAAAGATTTCCAATTCAATGTTATTAGCACAATTAAATCAAACCTTGAAAACCTCTGTAAAGCTTAATATCTTCAGATTTATACTGAGGAATAAAATACCTGCAACTATCTGGCAGCTGTTCAAAATGCTTCAATATAAATTTCATATATACATAAAGTTTATATATATATATATATATATATATATTCTAAAAATATATAAGTATTTTTTCCAATTATAGAACAATATATTGAAAACAATAATATATTAAGTAAAGCTCATGAAATATCCAAAAGAAAAATGTTAGTTACATATATAAACAAGGTTGGCTACTGGCATACAACAGATGGAATAGTGAGCACCAAGAGTGTTTCCCCTTCTTATCAACTGGCTGTAGGGTTTATTTTTATCTAATTTAATTTATATTAACAGAGTTAGGAAAATACATGGAAGAATAAAGAGAACATCATGATCAGTTTGGGTTAACAGTGTAAATAAAAATACAAATCTAAAAATATAAAACTATACATTTTACATAATAAATAGGTAATCCTATAAAACCCTTCTCACAGATCATGTTATAATCAAAATAAATAAATCCTAAGCTTTGCCTAATCTTCATTTTCTTTATTTCATACTCTTGGAAATA